TGAGACTCCCAGCAGGATCACTTTCCTGGTATTTGCTTTTGAAGTGAAACCTTCCTTTCAGAAACAACGTAGAAAGCAGGCTTTAGGTGACTGGTCTACAATGACCCTCTCTTTAAGGGTGACTTTGATTCCCAGGCCCAGGTGCCCACAGCTGCTTGGTTTCTTCCCGCATGGGAGAGAGTGGCTTAGAAAGCTAGCCCAATGCTATAGGCGATTTAAATTGATGATTGATTCCCTGGGAGATGGGGTGGGATCCATCACGGGCGTGATAAGCTGTGCTGAGTTCCCTATCTGCATAGGGCCTGTAGCAGCCCCGTCAGGGTGTGAATATGAAAACAAGCCCCTCCCCGATCCCAGCGGATCTCTGAGTCTGACATATGTCTGCCTTGTTTTTCAAATATTGCTGTAAGCAATTGACTCCCTCCCCAGGAGGCTGGGGACAGGGTGCCCGTGGAGTGCTGGTGCCGATTCTCAAAACGCAGCCCCCAAAGCAGCCGCCCCTGGGAGTGGCGTCTGGGTGGCAGTGGTGATTCTCCTTGGACTTCGTGGCAGGCGGTCGCGTCCCTAGTCCCTAGTGGAAACCCGTTCCCTAACAGGTTACTTTGGTGGCTGCTCTTCTGTCCCTTCTGGTGGTGGCCTTTCTGCTCAGGAAGGGCCCTGGTGGCAGCGGCTCCCTGGAGGCTGCTGCTCCCGGGGTCTTTGGCCAACTCCGCAGCAGCGCAGCTGTCACTCTGCTCTTCCCTGTTGGGGGCCTGTGTCCTCAGTGTGGTTCCGGAAGCAGTCGCTCTGGGTCCTCTCCAGCTCCTTCTCTGGGCTCCTCTTTGGAGGGCCAGGGCCACCTCTCCAGGCCTGAAGGATGCAGCTTCCTGGAGAAAGGGAGAGCCTAGGAAGTGGGGTGGACGCTCCTGGCTCCCAGGCTCCGCTCCCGCCCACCCGGGGCTGCCTTCAGCAGATGGAGGGCTTCTGTGCAGCCCTGGAGACCAGAACAAGGAACTGGGGTCCCACCTGCCTCTGAAGGACCCTTGTCGTGGACCAGGCTGGGCTGCAGTGAGCGCAGCTGCTGTGGGAGAGTGACAGAACTCTAGGTCCCAGTGCGGGCCAGGAAGGGGGCTCTGCAGAGCCTGGAGAGCAGACATGGCCGCGTCTTCCTGCCGGGGCTCCTGGTACATGGGCAGAGCCCGGAGCCTGTGGACGGCCAGGCTGGGGGCTGGATCCAAGCCTTCCTCCCCAGGACACTCCCAGAGTCCACCTCCACCATTAGAGATGGCCATTGTCCCCTGCCAGCAGAGGACTGGGCAGCCAGGGAGGCCTCCTCCACGGAGGTTCACTAGGTGAGGAGATGAGGCCAGGGGAGGACAGCCCTGGCCCAGGAGGGGCTCCCACGCCTGTGCTCCTGCCAGCCTCCCCTGTGCCTCCTGACGCACCTCCCAGAGCCCTCCCACGCCAAGGAGACTGCCGTGTCTCCTCCTGTCATGGTGCCTCTGCTCCTGCCCACTGCAGCAAGTCACTCCCTCAGGACCTCTGCCGGGAGCCCTGAAGGCCGAGACTGGGCCTCACAACCAACTAA